TTTATTTTGTGTTTTGTGTGCGGCAGTCGTCCGCGAGGGGCTGCCGCTTTACTTTCATTTTGTGTTTGTTTATTTTATTAAAGTCTTTAAATGTTCGCCGGTTCCCGCCTCCTTCTTCCCGTGACTACGAACTGTGTTACATTGGTGCCGAAACCCGGGAGGAAGGAGGGACACGCTGTCAGAGAGCCCTCACTGCTGAGGGGGATCACGGTGCTGAGGAGATCCGGCAGCAGGAACAAGCGGAGAGACCGCCGGTGGCTGCCTGAGGCGGTGGTACTGGAGTGAGGGAAGAAGGAGGCGGGAACCGTGTCTCACAAAACACAAAATAAAGTTGGGGAGCGATAATGGAGGGACAACCTGTGAATGGGGTATGGACAGAATCAGTCAAAGTAATGCATATAAATTGACTGGAACTCCTTGCAGTTTCTCTGGCCCTCAAACACTTCCTTCCGCAGATAAGAGGCTGTCATGTGTTAGTCAGATCAGACAACACAACAGTGGTTGTCTATATAAACAGGCAAGGGGGAGTTTGATCGAATCAGATCACAGAGGGTGAGGGTGCTCCTAATAGCCCCGTTATGGCCAGGGAGGACATGACAGTTCAACTGCTGTATTCGCATCCGTGGTGTCTTCCTCAGCGCAGAGATCTCCTCTCTCTGGCAGGGGGAGAATTTTTCATCCACATCCAGATTCCAGAGGTGGAATCTTTGGGTCTGGCCAGCGAAAGGTCTAACCGGAACGCCCTGGGCCTGCCTCAGAATGTGATCTCCACCATACAGAGTGCTAGAGCAGACTCCACCAGATCTCTGTATTAGGCAAAATGGAAAAGGTTTGAGACACGGTGTCAGGAAAGACAGAAGATACCATTTCTTTAATCAGTGTCGGACATCCTTACCTTCCTTCAGGAGATGCTAGAAGAAGGCAAAGCCTTCTCTACAATCAAAGTGTACCTGGCGGCCATTTCATCTTGCCACATGTGATTTAAATGTGAAACAGTGAGAAGGGTCTGGCTGCAGCCTCGCACTTGCACTCTCAGACTTGCATTCTCAGACTTGCATTCTCAGACACTTGCGCTTCCGCTAGCGACGTCACTTGCAGGCTTTATTTTTTATTTTGTTCTATTTTTTATTACTTTTTGTTTGAATCTCTCAACATTTTACAACAGTAGCCAGGTGGTGAAGACAAGAAAAAAGAAACGAAATTACAATGTCACTTGCAATCGCCACTTGCACTCCCCGCTACCTGCGACGTCACTTGCAATCGACACAAATCGTGCGTGTTGCCAATGGAGACAAGACGCTGTGGTGATTAAACGATTAAAACTAAATTAGTACTATGACAGTACATTAAATAATAACTATATATCGAATTTGATCTTTTAATTGCACTTAATGT